TGTCCAATAAACTCTGAAGAATGTTTCATATTGACTGGAGGTTGCATTTCCCTTTTTTGTCCTGGCTTGGGACCAAGATTATGGAAAGGACTAATACTTGGTGTCCTCAGCCTGAGGCTGCTTCCTTGATATGAGATTTGATCTTTTCTGACAATCCTACCTGAGTACTTACCTGGGGGAGAAGGCCTTCTCCACCTCCAGCTTTGGAAAGATTTACATGTACAAAGAGATTTCTCCCCCTCCAGTCTCCAGGTTTACACATTCAGACATGCACATGAAGACATGTACCTTCTATACTACTATATCCTATATGGAATAACCCTACAGTATGCAAATTTACAGTATGCAAATTCTGTCATGCAACCCCTCTCTCTTCTTATTCACATAACATCACAGAATTATATTTAGAGCTGAGAAGGGGAACATTTTAGAGAGAGATCATCTAGTCCAATGCCACAAGTTTACAGATGAAGAAAATGAGGCTTGGAGCAATGAAATGACTTATCCAATATCCCACAGCTCTAGTCCAGTGACACAGATGGAAATGGAACTCAAGTCTTCTGGCTACAGGTTTAGTGCTCTGTCCATAATACCACTGCCTCACGTGTGCAAAGGAGCAAGTCTAGATTTATACGCACATCCACACACCTAGGTATACCTTCACTTGGGAGTCCACACACATCTGAAGACACTAATGCCCATGTCCACTGCTGCTGAGTTGTAATGCTGAGCCAGTTAAAGATGGAATAAGACAATTGGGAAAACCCAGAACTTTCAGGACATCTTCATGCGAGTCATGCCTGTGGCCATTTTGTTGAGTAGAAAACAGCATGTTTCCCTGAGATAACTCAAATGAGACTCTTCCTCTCAGCCAATACAGCTCTCCTAACTCCCATGTATCCTGAAAAGTATGGACAACTGAACTCATAACTGGCCAAATCCCTGTTTCACACCTCAAAAACAATCAACTTGTGGCTAAGACACAATGGAGGCAGGAAGAAGGGCACAGTTTCTAGTTACTTCATTAATCTCCTGCCCAGAAAAGTACCTGGTGATTACTGGCCTCCCCTGGATATAATTTCTATGCAAAGTAGGCAATAAAAAGGAGAAATAAAGCTAGAAGCATAACTATAGCTATATAAAAGAGTAAGGCAATAGAGGAAAAAAAATCAGCTTCACATATATAAAATGGGGGATGGCTAGTTAAATAGCAACCAGTTCATCTGAAAAAGAGCTGGGGGCTTCAGGGGACCACATGTTCAATATGAATCAACAGTGTGGATATGGCAGCCAAAAGAGCTGATCTTGTGCTGCATTAAAAGAAACACAGCTGCTAGGAATAAGGAGGTAAAAGGCCTAACAGTTAGAATGATGCAAAAATGGGATAGTCTTGTAAGAAGATAGAGATACTGCACTCACTAGAGGTCTTCAAGAAAAGACTGGACAGCTCCCTTTTGGATATGTCTCACCAGGATTCTTGTTCTGTCTTGAGTTGGGCTTTATGGCATCTGAGTGCCCCTCCAACCCTGAGATTCTGTGTGATCTCAGGGTTTCTGAGCTTAGAATATTAGGCCTAGAAAGAGATCATCCTATCAGAAGGCTCTCAAAATGTGGTTTGAGGACCTGGAGGAGTCCCTGAGACTCTTTCAGGAGGCCTGAGAAGTCAAAAAGATTTTCATAATAATACTAAGATATCATTTACCCATTAAAGTACTCCTCCCTTTTCCAACTATGGATCTGCTTGAAGCCAGATTTTTCTTCCTCTACTTTAATCGAAACGACATATTGCAACTGATCGAATGTGGAAGCAGATATGAGAATTCAGCTGGTTTCCATTAAGTCAAATATTAAAAAGCATTTGCAAAAATATGTAAAACAATGTCACTCTTCTCACTTGATTTTTTTGTTTTACAAAATGATTATTTTTCATAGTTGTGTTATATATTAACATGTAATGGGTTTGTTATTGTTATTTTAAAATGTAACAGTTTTAATTCCTAATACAGCAAATATTGAGAGATATAGCCTACATAAACAAAGCTCTTTCATCTCCTCAGTCTTCAAGAGTAAAAGGGGTCCTTCAACCATTTTATAGATGAGGAAACTGAGGCCCAGAAAGTTAAGTGTTGAGCCCAAGACCATACAGGGAATTAAGGGTCAAAGCCTGAACTCATTCATGGGCTTCTCTAAGGGACAGAATGCAGAGATAGAGAATCTAGGTTCAGCCACATAATATACATACATAAGTACATACATGTATATTAACATAAGTTTTCCAATCTTTAAAATGGGAGGAATAATACTTGTACTGCCTACGAAGTGCTATTGTAGGGATCAAATGAGATCACATATGTAAGTGCTATGTAAGTGTTAAACAGGAGATTAACAAACTATTAGGATTAGGATTCAGGCCTTTAAATCCAGGATTCTTCTCACTAGCCTTTTCTTCCTCCCGGTGGGATGGTACTTTGATTATAATCCCTGGAGAAACAATTTAAACACTATGCAAAATCTAGGTCATCTTTGTTATTTAGATGATCACAACCCCACAGTCCTCAAAAAAACAAAAACAAAAACACAGTATTTTGCCCTAAGAAATAATTTGCCTGGTATTAAGAGAAATCTATGTCACATAAGGACAGAGAAACGCTGTAATCAAATGTGATCCAGGTGAAGCCTTTTGAAGAGAAAGGTGCAGTCCCTATCTTTACTTAAAAACAAACAGATGTCATGGTGTGATATACTTATAGATCCTCTTCTGTTCATTAAAAAATTTCCTCCCCACAGATTTTCCCCTCAGCATTCCTTTTCCTCCCCCCACCCACTCCATGTTTCTACATGCCCTTCTTCCTGTATCCTTCATTCAACTATTACCTACACAGGAAACTGCGACTTTGTAAACCTGGACCTCTTTCTCTCAGTTCTCTGTGTGTGCCTGTTTGGGTAAGATAAGTGAATCTAATAACACTGTTGACAATACCTTATTTTTGGTGGCAGACTTGACTCTTTGACCTACAGGTGTTGATTCTTTCTTGCTCCTTAAAAAGTGCTTGGAAGTGCATTTACTGTAAATATTTGAAGTGCCGAGGCATGGTTGAAAACTGTAATCTAACTCTATTACTTGTACAGTTCTAACCCAAACCCTTCAGACAGCCGAGGCAGAAAGGGAATTTTTTTCTCTAGCACCAAATATGGGGGGGGAGAGATGTGGGAAAAGCCCCTAACAGTGATAGGTTAGCTTATTCTAGAGCGAAGTCTCCCAAGCCACTCACCTCACCATTCTCATCTTCTAGAGCTTCTAGAGAATGGCTCTTTTAACATCAGCCTCCACTATCTCTGCAACTCCCAAATCCGCCCTTGGAGAAGAACTACAGGTATATGATTAGGTGTGGGAACCTTCTCCCTTAACCCCTCCTCCCCCAACATCTTTCATACAAAGAGGAAGAGTTCGGGCCCCATAGAAAACAGAATTCTGTCTTCCCATCTGTTTCTACGTATTCTCCACTGGTGAAGTGAAAAGCCACAGATCAGTGCTGTTGAAAGCCTTGCAATTGAGGTTAGCTTTTCCAGGCTCCGCAAAAATGGGCATCGGCGGGTGGCAAAGTCGCTTGTGAGAAAATGGGGGGAGGGAGGGAACACCGCATCACGAAGCTGCTGGGGTGAAGAAAGAAAGATGCTAAAGATAAAATAATTCTTATTATTCTCAAAACTCCCAAGAGGAAATTATTTAATCCTCAAAGGGGCTAGATCCATGACTGAAGAAGACAGTCTGCTCCCATCCCTTGCCCCTAAAATTAATTAACAGGGCGTTGTGCTTTAGCAATATAATTTCTAAATTATAGATTTCGGTGTGATTTCGAGTTTGAAGAAAAATTGCATGGAACTAGGGCAAGGGTGGGGGTGGGTGAGAAGAGGGGCCGAGAGAGCAAACACCGCACTAACCTCCCTTATGGCCACCAAAAAGAAGTCCAGTTTTTCTATCTCTTTAAGGAAACACCTTATCTCTGTGGCCAGTGTGTGTGTGTGTGTGTGTGTGTGTGTGTGTGTGTGTGTGTGTGTGTGTGTTCACATAGCACATGCGTTGGGTGTATATACGCATAGTAATCATTTTCAATCTGCTCTCTATTTAAACCAACCTCCTGCAGGACCCTAATATTAAAAAGACTAATTTAAGGCACCCTGCTGGGTCTGATGCTCAGAGATTTGATTACTAAACTTTTGGCTCACCACACCGTCAGAGAACTCGGGTCCAAATCTCCACTCTGCTACTTATTAGCTGTGTGACCTTGGACAAGTGACTTCATCTCTTGGGGCCTCAGTTTCCTCGGGTGAAAAATGAAGGATTTGGACTTTATGATTTCCAAGGTCCTTCCAACTTCAGATCTATGAACGGAGTCCAAGCATGCACAACCGCCACCTCCAAAACCTTCTCACCGCAAAGGCCGGAGTGGAAACCAGTCGGAGGCATTCCGAAGCTTTTCTGCTCATTTTCTTTTCTTTCTATGTTATTAACTCTCTCCCCCTCTCCCCTTCCCAGCATTCGATTAGGGAAATCTCTTAGGACGGAGCAGAGAGAGCCTTTCCCTTTAACCTGGCCGGGGGGTGGGGCAGAGAGTGAGTCGGAGGAAAGGGCCAAAGAAGAGGGAGGAGATGAGGGTGGGACCCCGCCACCAGGGACATTGACAGGTGTTCTGCCTGGCCAATCCCGGGGGCAGGACCACAGCACCACCATCCCCCAAGGGTTTCGTCTCTTCCTAGGCTGCCAATGAGCGACCGAGCTGAGGCTACAAGTGGGAAGAGTTGGGAGCCTGGGTTCTTACTATCGCGGGAGCGACATTTTGCGGTGGTTACTTGAGGGGGTTGAGCGAAAACACTCTTGGCTCTCTCGGACCGACCAGGTGCAGAAGAATTTGTGTCCTCGGGGGTTGTGCAAGTTGTGTGTCTGGGCGTGCGGCGTCCTGGGGTGGGAGGGAGGGAGGGGTGTCCTGGACGATGGTCACTCCGGTCTGATTTTCCAATAGCTTATTTTCTTATTAGAAAAATCGAGAGATTTTCACCATCACCGTAAGAATAAGGTTATCCCAGCGCCGCCACCACCACTTAAAAAAAAAAAGGCAAAACAAAACAAAGAAAACACCCAAACGATTCGAAAGATTGAAAAACATATATATCCAAAAAGAACTGATGGAAAAATCCAAAAATTTCCGGATCGATGCTCTTCTAGCAGTCGACCCACCGAAAGCTGCCTCGGCGCAGACTTCTCCTCTGGCTCTGGTCACGTCTCTTTCCGCCTCGGCTGCCACATCTGGCAACAGCAGCAGCAACGGGGGGAGCAGCAGCAGCGGCGGCGGCAGCAGTAGCAGCAGCAGCAGCTGCAGCCCCCCTTCCTCGGAGCACCACACTGGCGGCTCGGACTGCCTGAGGACGGAGAGCCCGTCCCCGCCTCGGATCCTCGCAGCCCACTGCGGGCTGGTGCCCAAGCCAGGTTTCCTGAGCAGCGGCAGCGGCGCCGCTGGCCATCATCACCACCACCCTGGTGCGGCCGCTGCAGCGGCTGCAGCGGCCGCAGCCGGAGGGATGGCCCTAGGGTTGCACCCATCGCAGGGTGGAGCGGGGATCCCCACCCAAGCGGCTCTGTATGGTCATCCCATGTACAGCTACTCGGCTGCAGCGCTGGCTGGCCAGCACCCGGCTCTGTCTTATTCCTACTCCCAGGTGCAAGGGGCCCACCCCACCCACCCCGCAGACCCCATCAAACTCAGCGCCGGCACCTTCCAGCTCGACCAGTGGCTCAGGGCGTCCACCGCGGGCATGATCTTGCCCAAAATGCCCGATTTTAACTGTGAGTATCCGAGAGTGAACGGGACAATGGCACAGGCCGGGTAGGGAGGGGGAGGACTAGAGATAGGGAAGCAGATGGGGGAAAAAAACAGAGCTTGGGGGTGAGGGGAGTAATTGAGGTTTGACTCTGGGCGTATTTACCAGACAGAGAGTGAAAGAATCTGGGATTCGTCGAGCCTATGATAATTCGTACCCAGGTTATAGATAGTAAGTATTCAAAACCAAATTATTAAAATGGCAACCCAGTAGTCCTCTTTCTTGTTTGTTGGTTGGTTTTTTTCCGGGGAAAGTGAGAAAAGGAGGTGAGACTGCAGTCTGTATTGATTAACTATGAGGAGTAGGGAAGCAGTCCGAAATACGTTAAGAATCATACCCCGCTGTGTGGACTGGTATCCATTAATAAGAATGTTTCCTTGGGAAAATGGGCCCCTACAGTGGAAACGGGCTTTTATGGAGGAAGCCCCTCAGCCGTGGGATCTCAGGCGCTGAAGGACCAACAGGGCCCACACGTTTCCAGGTACTGCAGGGATTCGTAGCTTTGAATTCTGCAGATGCCCGTCTAGTTCTTAGGTGTTTTGGAGGGGAGGGAGATGGTTGAAGGAGAGAGTTACTTTTGTCTGACTGGGCCGGAAATAATTTCTCTAGTGGAGACCATACTTTCCCTCTCTCACCGAGATCCTATACAGAAACAATTTGAGCAGTCTACTCCAGCTGCGAGTGAGAACCCCAGGGTGTGAGCGAACTGACCAGAGTTAGAGACTGAGAGACTTGGGCAATGGTGAAAGTCCCAGTCCTAGACACCAACCTGCTCGAACCTCGAGCCTCCAGGCGCCGTTGTCTCCCCCTTCTAGGCCGAGGAGCTAGGCTGGATAGATTCTTAAATCACCTAGCAGATCCCTAGCTCAGATGCTAGTTTTCTGGTGGAGATGGCAAAGTCTTCAATCCACTAGGGTGTAGGTTTACTTAGCCCCCTGCCAGAAGGATAGGAAGGTGTATACGAATTTATTTTTTTTCCTGCGGCCGTACGCCTAAACAAAAAGAACCCATTGTTTTTGCCTGTATGGGTTTGTTTAGGCTAGGGAGATTGTAGACCTGAGGAAAAGAGAAAAAAAAATCTAGAAAAGGTGCCAGAATTGTGCCTCCTTTTCAGGGAAGCTTGATTGTAACTGAGCTGAGAAGGGTAGTGATAATGGAGACTGGGGGAAAAATCACAGGACAGTGAGAAAATCCCAACTGGGTTACTATTTGTTCACCGGACACTAGTCCCTTTTCCCCTTGGCCCTTTTAACAGGTTAGCTCCAAATGAGGTAATAAAACCGCTTTCTCTCTCCTGCTACTTTTCCCTGCATAATTCGAAGATTTTTTGTTCTTTTGAGGCGGCGGTGGCTGTTTTTTGTTTCCAAAAGCAAAAGAAGAGACAGTGCACTCCAAGAAGTGGAAGAGAAAAGTCAGTTATGTTGGGGGCATCAACCTTCAGATATCTCCGAGTTTTGCCCAAATTTCTGGCACAAAACCTTTTTTATTTGTACACCCCCAAACCCCCAAACAACCCCATGCTGCCTTTTTCCCTACATACGCGTTTCCCATTTATACCTGCGTTCTCCTACATTGGAGATACTTAATCATTGTGGTTGGGGTGATGGTGGTCGTAGTGAGGATTGATATTTTTCTTACAGAACCACTAAGGTCAGAAACTTTCGACCCTGAGGAAGCTCTGGAATTTTCATTAAAATCTATATAATGAGAGGTAAAACTACTAAGCAGGTAGTTTCTCCCCCCCAGTTGGTTAGGGTAGGAGTATCTCCCCCAAACCTGTCGGGAAGTTTTTCTTTCCAGAGTTGATTCTCCAACACTCCTTCCCTTCCTGCATCCTTGATCCCTAATGATCTAAATTAAATTTAAAAACAAAAGCGCCCTCCTACTTTATGGTCAGAAAACACAATTCAAATACAATCATGAAAGCTAGTAAAGGAATTGAAACTGATTCCAAAAGACACCTCCTTCTTCGGCTGTTGGAAACTTGTTTCGTTTACCCTAAGTAGCTTTTCTCATCCCCCCCACTCCATTGCAATTTCTCAAGTGGTCCCCTCGGAGTCTCTGTTTTAATTAAAGTTCTAATGTATTGTCAAGTTGGGAATTCGGAGCCTTGTGTAACTAAAGCGGGGGGCGTGGACCTTTTTAGATAAAGCAAATTGTCACTCCCAAGGGAGACTGAGCTCATCCCACCCCGATCCCCAGTCCTTTTTCTTTTCTTTCTTTCCCCCCCTTTTTTTTATTGTCTACCACTTGTCGGGCTCCTGGGAAATCAAGGGGAGTCTCATTTTGAGGTCATAAAATTCCCTGTGATGTAACCGTGCGAAATTATGTAAATAAAAGCGCTGTTTCAAATAGCCAGTTAAGCCCTGTCAGCACAGACAGGTTGTGTCTTTCATTTGCGTAATGAGAGTTCAACAGAAAAGGCCTTTCTTTGCCCTTCTCCCTTCCCGGGCCCATACAACCGCTTTAATACTCAGAGGGGGAAGTGAATTTTTTTTTTGGCTGGGAAAAAGACCATGAATGTAACTTGGTAATATAGAGCCCAGGGGTAGATTTGGGAAGGAGGCAGAGTTGTGTCCTCCAACTGGCTGATGAATTTTCTACCTTCTGGGTTTTTGCCCGATGGGGTAAGAAAGGATGTGTGTGTGTGTGTGTGTGTGTGTGTGTGTGTGTGTTCTTGAGTAGATGAGAGGGAGAATCAGGGAGTGACTTGTTTCTGTACCTCTCTTCTGGCCCTTCTCGGAGTATTCTTCTTTCAAAACCACCTGCGAGATGTCAGAACTCTAGGCACAGAGAAATATGTGGCACAATTTTAAAAAAAAAACCCTGGTTTCATTTTTTTTTTAAAGTCTCGGCCTTAAATCCCGATGGCTTCGAGCTGCTAGCAGGAAATAGCTTCAGGTCTTTGGAGAATGGGTAAAGAGTAAGAGCAAGGAGTGGAAACAGAGAAGAGGGGCTAGGCAGCCCTGTGGTCTGAATCCTCCATTGGAAGGCACTGGACTTAACTGAATATTTATTGCTTCGAGCGTTTTGTTGGTTTGGGGAAAGGAAGGAATCTAGTTCCTTGGAGACCCCTTATCACTTCTCTCTTATTGATTCTCCCCCTGCCTCTCCTTACCTTGTTCTATATAGCCCAGGCCCAGTCCAACCTTCTGGGGAAATGCCGGCGGCCCCGAACTGCCTTCACCAGCCAGCAGCTGCTGGAATTGGAACATCAATTCAAGCTCAACAAATACCTCTCCCGTCCCAAGCGCTTCGAGGTGGCCACGTCGCTGATGCTCACCGAGACCCAGGTAGCCACTTGGGATTTTCTCTCTCCGATGACCCTCATTCTACCTCGCCTAGGAGGTCCCTGCGTCCCCCTCCCCCTCCCCCACTGTAGCCCCCTCCCTCCACTGCAGGTATCCCTAGCATTCTGAAAAGCCCTTGCTTTTGCCAGGGAATACCTAGATTCAGAGAGAAGGCGATTCCTTTCCGCCTGTCGCCCTGAACTACAGGTACACTCATCTCAGCACATCTGGCTCTGTTCCTCTCCCATTCCCTTGTGTGTAGGTCCCTTCCTCCTAAACCACGTAGTCATCTGGCCTCTCTCTAGCTGTACTGCTCTGGAATTTGCTTTCTGCTCTGGGGACAGGTGGGAGTGAAGAAAAGAAAGAAGTTCTCAAGACTTAAGGGTTGATGATGGGGGACGGGGACGCAGGGCTGGGAAAACAATGAAGGGAAAGAGAAAGCTTGAGGGCTAAAGTCGGCACGAGGCAGGTGGCAGGTGGAAGGAAGGTAGTTAGCCTGTCCATGGCCAAATTTTCAGTGAAACAGGGTGGGGGTGGGGTGAAGGAAAGAGAGGACCTGGATCTGGTTCTAGCCATTAGCAAGGGAGCCCTGAGAATGCAGATTCGCTGTTGGTAAGAAAGTTAAGGCTTACAGCTGCAAACCCTCAATTGCCTGGGAAGGAAGCTTTCCAAAAAAGGAAGGGGTGGGAAGAGCCCAAAGTGGCCCTGCTAACCTAGAGGCTTCTTGTTTCTATGCTTCAGGTGAAAATCTGGTTCCAGAACCGGAGGATGAAATGGAAACGGAGCAAAAAAGCCAAGGAACAGGCGGCACAGGAGGCAGAGAAGCAGAAGGGAGGGGCGGGGAAAGGTGGAGGAGGGGAGGAAAAAGGAGAGGAGGACCTGCTGCTTCCTTCGGACAAGAGTAGCAGCCGCCGCCTGCGGGATTTGAGGGACAGTGACCCAGAGGAGGAAGAGGACGAGGAGGAGGAGGAGGAAGGGCATTTCTCCTACAAGAACAATAACGCTGCCCACTCCTCCGATTGCTCCTCTGAGGATGACTCTCCGCACACAAGACCCGCGGGACCCGGGCATCAGCCTCCGTCCCAATGAAGAGCCCACGCAGCCTTCTGGGTGGGGTAGGGAAGCAGGAAATGGGGTGTGACCTCACCCTCCCAATTCCCCTATCCAACAGAGAGTCCTTCACGTTCAGCAGGACCTGCTCACATCCAGGACTTGGGAAGCTGACACAGATCCTCGAATTCAGCAACCTGCAACCCCGATTTCTCTGACCTGGAGAGGACAGTAGAGTGGGGGGTGGGGAAATCATTCTTTCCTGGACTGCCTCATCCCTTCTCCCCAGTTCTCATCTCTGCTTTCTATCTCCTTGCCTCCCCCGAGCTTTCCCAGGGGCTTGCAGCCCAGAGTTGGCTTGCAGGGGGATTGGTAAATCCAGCTGCTGCCACTGACGAATGGATAAAGATCTGAGGACTCTCCCCCCTTTACTCCCCCCCCCCGACCTGAAAATCCTGGCAATTTTGGTCGTTTTTTTTCTACAGAGCTTCGGCTGCTGTTGAACGAAAGAAGGAAACCCAGGGGAATGTTCAAACTTGAATCTTTTTTTCCTTTGGTTTTTATTTAATTTTGTTGTTGTGGTTGAGTAAGTGGGGGGTGGGAGTGAGATGTTGTAAGGGATCCCCTAATACATGGGAGACCTTCCCATCTCTCCACCAAGTAGAGAAAACTTGCCACACAGTGTTAAGTGACATTTAAAACTTGAACCATGGAACCGCTGTTCTTTTTCTGAGTATTGAAAAAATGTTTTGTGCTTATTATGTATCATGAAAAAAAAAACCTTTATGTCATGACCGTTCAAACTGCTGGAAATCTCAAGACTGTACTGTCTTTATTTTTGTATGTTGTATTTATAAAAAAAAAGATACCTCTACTTATGCATGCTAAATTATTATTTAGCTTCTCCCATCATCCCTGATGGAATGTAAAATAAATTGGTTTTATACTAGATTTGACTGTAAACCTGTATTTAAAAAAAAAAGAATGTGATCTAATTCAGTTTAACAAACACTTATTAAGCACTTCTTATCTTCCCAGCCCAGTGTTAAATGATAGATCAGGGGCTCAGCTTTTTTGTGTCATGGATCTCTCTAGCCATACATTCTTCCATAGGACCCCTTCTCAGAATAATATTCTAAATAAAATAATAAAATTTAATAATCAATAGTTTAATAAATACAATTTAAATTTTACAAAATGAGCATTAAAATACATATTACAAAGGAAACCAAATATTTAAGAAGTTATCAAGATATTTTATAAAAACTCTCTGACCCAGGTTACAAACCCCTTCACTAGAGAAACAAAGGTAAAACCACAACAGAAATTTTGCCATTTTATCTAGGCTTGAAATGAACATATGAAGAAGGGTCACAACTTTGGCCTCTGTTGTATTAAGTTCTTTTGTGTATTGAACTGGTGAGTGAGGGTGAGAAAAGAGTGGGTGAAATCAGAATTGCGAACTAAGATGAGTGCTTAGAGATACATCCCAGAGCTAAATTAGGCATCAGGGGAAATCCTTAGGTGCTGGCTTAGGTACCCACCTACCTTGGCTACCTTTCCTAAAGCCAAGTGAGCAATTTAGTGCTGTTCAGCTAGATGATACTTAACTGACCTGGAGAAGCCAAAGGGACTAAGCATGGACCAGAATGACCATCCCTTCCTCACCATTTTATAATCTTTATCTTTTTTTTCCATTATATTTATCTGAGTGTTTCTCTAGTCCTCTTTTTCAGAATTATTTTAAAGTCACTTAAAATAGACTTTGGTGTTATTTAGGTGGATTTTTTGCCCCTTTCCTGCTTTTCTGAATTTAATTATCCTCTATTAAGTTTTTAATGTTTAATAGATTCTTCCTACCCCTTTGCACCTTTTCTTCTCTTCCCTTTGCCTTGCTGGTAATAGCTCGCTCTCAGATCTGTGCAAATTTGCAGGCGAACAAACGTGAGGAGAGCCAGTCAAACTGCAGAAACATTTCACACTGGAACTGCAATGGCTTTGGATTAATAAACCTCTGCAATGTGTCTCATCAATCACACAGGGGCTGCAGAAGGGCGGTTGGCCATGTGCTATGCACATGGAGGACAGAAACCCTGGATCAAAAAGCCTGTGGTTGCTGCTGCAGCGGTTCCCTGCCCAACCTACTGCCACAAATTAGTGCCAGACTGGGATCCCCAAGTAGCCCTGGTAGCAGTGGGCACTGAGCTGAGACCGGTGAAAGGGGTCAGACAGGATCCTCCCAGCTTTCTCCAGGAGAAAGAGGCCTGATGGAAAGATCTCAGAACTCTGAGTCAGATCTGCTGTTTACTAGCTCTGGGACCCTGGACAAGTCTCTGCCCCAGTCTGGGGCTCTATTTTCTCATCTGGTTGTTTAAGTGGGTTGGACCTTAGGTGAACTTTTGAGTTCCCTTCCAGCTCTAACATTCTGCGGTTCTGCCCCTTTTCTTGGCAGTATGAAAACGGCCTCTTCAACAGTCTCTAGAGGAAGGGAGAGGAGAAAATACAGGTGGCTTTTCTTCTTTTCTCTTTATAAGCACTTGGGTGTCCACCAGCTGCCACCACCCTGTCTCCTCCCAGTTGATAAATGAGTTCAGAAGGGTCCGGTATTTCATTTGGGTGATTACAACCTAGGCCAGCCCAACGGCTCATCTACCTATAGGGCTGGGGCGAGATTAATATCCTCTGAGGCAGCTCATTATCACCCCAAGCTCTTTCCAGAAAACCAATCGCAGTCAAAGCTAGGGAGGACAGAGGAGGGGAGAGGTTTGGGGAGAGAGATGGGACAAAAGGCAGGGGAAGAAAACACTATTACACTGGCCTCAGGGTCCAAAGGTGATTTGAGGTAATAAGGGCTCCAGCAGTTACACTGATCTCAAGCTGGCAGCTAGCTACAAGGCTGCTGGAGGACCTACTCAGCGCAGCAATTCCTAGGAGAGACAGAAGTGCCATAAGAAACTCACAGAGAGAAGACTTCCTAAGTCTTTAGCGGGAGTTCCCATCACCTCCAGTCACTCCTCAGGGGGAAAAAAAAACTAAACAAAAAAACCCCACAACCCAACCATATGCTGTTTGTGTGTGCCCTCAAGCCCACATTTAATTTTAAATTTTTTTAATGGTGGATGAAGGTGAGCCTGAAGCAAAATCACATGTGGAGGCTGGCTATTTTTCACCCAGGCCTATCCCGTCAGGGCTTCTCCTCCTGTGGAAGCCGCCACATTGCAAGTGGCCAGGCCTCAGGAGGACAGCAATAGGGTGGGGCAAGAGGTCAGGATCAGGAAAAGAAACTATTAATTATATCAAGCCTGGGGCCTGGACGACCTTTGAGTTCTGGTCTTCTTTGAGATCCACTCCCTCGCTGAAGTCACGACCTCCCCCTGCCCCATTTGCTATCCCCCTTGCACCCCAGTCTCCTAGCCAAACAAGACCCTAGCGACATACTGCGATATCATCCTTAGGAATTTTCTAGCGGCCCTTAGTGTTGCCAATTTCTCTTGAGGTGAAAGGCGACAAACCTACATTTCTTTTTCAAGCGAGTCACCCCTAGACTCAATTCCCAGATCCGGTTCTCAGACAGCAAACCCCAAACTGAACGCCCAAACCAGTGATTAGGGACGAACACTGGGGCTGAGAGTTCTCGGGTTTGGGCTGTCTTGGGAAAGGCGTGAGGCTAGGCCGGGCATCTCCAGTATCTCCAGCCAGCTACTTAATCGCAGCGGAATTTATCTCGCTAATAAATTTAATGATCAATTCGTTCTTGTCACTGCAGCTCTTCCCCAAATCAATTATAGCAAATTTAAATATAATCACTGGCTCATCCTTACCCACTCGGGGCCACGACGAACAATTCATTCCCGCTAATGAATGACTGCGTGTCCCTGCTCTCCTCTGCCTCTCCAGCCGCCCTCCCCGGCTTCGTGCCCAGTGGGGGCTGGCTCGGCTGCAGCTCCCAGGAGGATGGAACCGAGCTGAGCAAGGCCAAGATGTGGGAACAGAGAAAAACAGGGTGGCCCCCCACCATCCCATGGGGAACCACAGCTTTTTCCTGCCGAAGGGTCTGATTCCCAATACACCAAAGACTGACTCTATGCAACCCAGGCAAAGCCCCGACTCACCCCCCCATTAATGTAATTATTAGGATAATTGAGTTTCTATCTTCCTCTCCCAAAGACAGATATCACAAAACCTATGTTGGCCATCCCTTTTCTCTCATCACAATAAAGAAGTTGTTGACCTGGTCTAAGTCTTAGACATTAGACTCTAAGGAAAGGGAGACCTTAAGGTGAGTTCTGAGCTAAAACATGCAACAATCTGCAAGTTTTCTCGAAGCCTGACAATCCAAGGGATCCGAGTTGAATTGCTCCCCGTCTTTTTTTTTTTTTTAACATCTACATCAGTTACTGGATGGGGAATGGATATGGAGCTCTATTTGTCATTCCCTTGCCAAAAAGGTGACTTCGCGAGGCTGTCATCCTAGTAGCCTGGAATCAGATCAAATCCAATAGACAATGATTCAGTACCCGCCTACTCGGGTTCTCCCGGACGTTTCTAAGAACTGAGATCTTTGGTGTTGTCTTTCTGTTCTTTTTAGGAATGAACATTTCTCTACTTCCCTTCTTGGAAAGCTAGTCTCTCTCTCTCTCTCTCTCTCTCCTCTCTCTCTCTCTCTCTCTCTCTCTCTCTCTCTCTGTTTCTGTCTCCTCCCTATTTCTCTATCTCTCTCCTCCCTCTCTCCTCCATTGTGCATCTTCCATGTATGCGCTGAAACAAAGCCTTTAATGTCAAGTAGAGACCAATCTGTTCTCTCCTTTAAAATGAAAACAATACTTTTTTTAAAAAAAAAACAAAGACTTGAATATTCGTGGCTTGTGGAACTTTGTCCCAGATCGGGAAAAAGGAGAGTTATTGCTTATAGTAGATAAAACACACATAGCCCTTCTGGTTGCTTCAGGTGTGGCTAATCCAAAATGCAAATTGTGAAGTTTAAAAATGGTTACAAGAAGAGAACTTACATATTACTTCAGTCTTGGCCCTTCCCTGCACCCTGTACCGGGGAATATCCCAACATAAAGCCATCGGCTTAAATTTCTTATTTGAAGACAAGCAAGATTCTGATAAGAATGAGAAGGGTAGGTCAGTACTTAATCTTTTGTGGGGTGGGGAAGTAAAGAAGGGTAGGTGAAAAGCCAAAAAAAAAATCGCATTTCGCGCGTGACCGAGCTCTATCTCGACTTCAACAAAGGGTCGCTTTGGATTCCACTTAGAGGGATCCTCTTCGCTTCCTCCTTTTCCGAGGTGCCTAGAAAACATCTGATGGGACAGGGCCAGATTGGCGAACAAAATCCGTAGGTTCGAATCCTCGTAGGAGACTGGAATCAGTAGGTAGGGGAAGAAATCAAGACCCCAGCAAGTTGAGGACCCCGCTACAGGAAAGGAAATAAACAACGTTCACAGCAGAGAATTTATTACTGAGCTCTTCCAAGCCAACAGTTCCTTGAATTGAAGATCAGTGATTTCGGGATTATGATACTCATTTGTAGAGGGAAAAGAATGTGTGTGTGTGTGTGTGTGTGTGTGTGTGTGTGTGTGTGTGTGTGTGTGTGTGTTCTATCAACGACCGGGGGAAATCACCTAGCAAGACATAGGCTCTCTACTCCTGGGCTCTGTATCAAAGTCCTACTAGTGTATTGTGTCTCCCTCAATAAAACTAATCCCTTTAAAGGTGTAACCTCTAACAAGAATGCTGTAGTGTTCCAGACTACAAGGGCAAATATGTTTTTCAGATTCCGTTTTTATGGTCGGATTAAAGTTTATTTTCCATAATAGGGCACCTAATAAAACTCATAAAGCTCTGTCAGTTCTCCAGCTGGTGGCCTCATTTAACACTTTCACTTCATAAATCATTTTACAACTTGCCAGGTGTTTCCAAAACTGGAAGCAACCAAAAAAAAAACCCATCAAAAACCCACCCCCACAAAACCTTAAACCTATTGAAAATCTGTCTATAGCTCCTCAAAACTAACAAGAGACAA